TACCAGCCAGCCTTGCAAATTAATTATATTGATGTTCTCTGGCTAAAATCTGATGGTTATATGTCCTGAATCGACATTACAAAATGAGTAATTTTCATTATTTCTCTTAATTATAAGTTCAACCTATGAATTTTAAAAGCTGTGGTTGTTAAAGTTAAACCGTATCAGGAATATTCTAAGATGGCTCCTTTAGAGGTGCTTACATGACCCTAGTGATGAATTGCATTTCTAGATTCCATAATTCCCTTCTCCTCCAAAAGAAAGAATATTGAAACAAGAATGACTAGGTTTCCTTATTATATTTGATCGTTAAATTTCAGAAAATGGGGAAGACATACAAGTATTGCGATATGAGCACGGGCAGAAATATGAACCACATTATGATTACTTTGCTGATAAAGTCAATATTGCTCGGGGTGGACATCGAATTGCAACTGTTCTTATGTATCTATCTGATGTGATCAAAGGCGGTGAAACAGTGTTCCCTAATGCAGAGGTCTGTTTCATCACTATTCATTAGTTTTTAATGTTCTTGTTCAATAAGATTATAAATTGCTCGCGGTTTTGAATGAGTCAAATTAGATGGATCTATTTACCTTCTATTTAACTTTTTTGCCTCGGTATTTGCAATTTTATTTTTTTATTTTATATATCTTTTTTCTGGACTTTTTTTTTTTTTGGGTGTCTTTGATTCTCCCTAAATAGACTGGGATGCTGGGGGTCCTTTTCAGTACTTTTTCTTGTTTTGTATCAAATGGAGCTATACATTGCTTGTAAGCTGGGTGGGGAAGGGAATAAACCTGCGTCCCTCACCTTTGCTGCGGACTCAAGTTGCCATTGAGCTAAGTCAAAATTTGTACCAATTTCTTAACTATTTTTCTTAGCCGCTAATGAATTATTATAGCCATTAAATTTCAAAAGCTGTGGCAGCTCGGCAGATACTTTTGAGGAAATTGTGTCTCACTTGGACTCGTCTCAGACAGGCGGTATTTATCCTCAAAGCCAATATAAATGATGCATGCTAATTACACTTTTATTGATTTGGGCATGGGGAGGCGGACAGTCGCAACCTTTCCTGGAGAATGAGTTTTTAAATCTCTCTCTGTCTCTAATTCTTCTCTGCCAAAGACTGCAAAACGAGAGGGGGCCTTTTTTTTTTTTTTTTGGAGGGGTGGGGGGTTGGGGATGGCGGAGGGTTCAGGTTTGTGGCAGAATTGTCTGGACCGTCTAGACAAATTTTGTCTACCTTTTATTACTTGTATATAATTTTGGTAACTTACAAATTTCCATTCTGCTTCCAGGACCCTCCACGCCCCAGAGGTTCTGAAAGTAAAAGTAGCGATGATCTCTCAGATTGTGCTAAGAAAGGAGTAGCAGGTGTGGATTTGAATGACTATTTTCTTTCATGAATTATCTTCTTTGTTGCACTGTCCCATTCGATGCCTGTCAGATTAACGTTTAATAATATGTTCTTCTCTTTCCATCCTCGCTATGGCAATGAGCAGTGAAACCACGTAGAGGGGATGCTCTTCTATTCTTCAGCCTCCACCCTAGTGCTATCCCAGACACCCAGAGTCTCCACGCAGGATGCCCAGTAATTGAAGGTGAAAAATGGTCAGCAACAAAGTGGATTCACGTGGACTCATTTGATAAGATAGTGGGAGCCGGAGAGTGCACCGATCAGCATGTGAACTGTGAGAGATGGGCCGCTCTTGGAGAATGCACTAATAATGCTGAGTACATGGTTGGTTCCCCAGATCTTCCTGGCTACTGTAGGAAGAGTTGCAAGGCATGTTAGAATTGCAGCTGATGGACGCTTCCCACGTAATTATATGCCCATAGCCTTTCATCTGTTTCTTCATTGATATTTATCATTCTCGGATTGCAGTTATATGCCTAATTTATAATGGTTTTGTCCTTGCTAATGGCTACACTTCCATAGCTGAACTTGTTGGTAGAATGGTAGTAAAGCTGAAATGGCTAACCGTGCGGAGGTTGCCATTATACTCATCTAATCAAGAATTAGTTTTGAAATGAGTTTATATCTGGATAATATTTGAGTTTATTTTTTTTTTGGTCGGGTATGATATTTGAGTTTGAATAACAGTCATAAAGGGGATTTCATGGTAGGGGTGTTCACGGGACAGGACCGGGACGGGACCAGGACAAACCGGTCCTGTCCTGGTGAATAGGGACGGGACAGGGATTTTGTCCCGTGTCCCGTCCCGCTTCCCCTTTTTTTTTAAAAAAAAACTATAATTTTTTTATATGAATTTTTTTATGTTATAATGCTTATTTTTTATTGGGCTTCTAAAGATAAAAACATCATAAAAAAATATTATGTAGAAAGTTCAATTATATAGTATAAAAAAGATGTAAAAATAATAATGTAAAAAAAATACGGGAAAAAAACACTGTATAATGTCTTTATCAATTATTTTATTGAGGAATGAGATTTTGTTAAGATAATACTACAACTTAAGAGCAAAAAATCACTATAAAAGTAATAATTATTATTAATAAGTAAATTAAATGATATAATAATTATTATTAATAAACAATTTTTTTAAAAAAATACCTCGGGACAGGAAGGGACGGGACAACCCCGTCCCTTGTCCCGTCCCTCCCGGTCACTGTTCCCGTCTCGTCTTGTACTTATCCCGTCCTGAAATTTTTTTTGTCCCGTCCTGTCCCGTCCTGAACTCACCTGGACTGGGACGGGACGACCGAGACGGGATAAATTAAACACTCCTATTTCATGGTGGGATAATTTTTTGAATTGAAACGAAAAATCTTCATCTTTTTATTTTTTAATGGACGTATCAAGTACTGAATACGAGCATATTTTCTCACAGAAAAAAATCTTCATGTAATGGAATACGTATCTCTAGCACTTCTGTGGTCTCATTCTTTGATTTCCCTCCATAATCATACATCTATAAAAATGATATGTAAAGCCATGCTATTCACTAATTATAGTGTACAACTTCGTTCTAGATAAACCTAAGCCAAGTTTTAACGAGTATGTACCCCATAGCACAAATCTAATATCAAAATTGGGCCGAGTTTTGTATGGTCTAGGAAGTCGGGCGAACTTAATAGTGTTGGAACGTTCGTAGTCCAAACCAAATGTCGAATTCCAACATTCAGATGTAATTTTTGTTGCTGTCCTGCGCCAGACCCCATACCCTGTGAAGGCTTATACCCCTATTTATAAATTTTGTTTATAATCTATAAATCAAGTTTTTGCTAAAAAAATCTATAAATAAAGTCTAATAAATAGGATCAGAGGAGGTAGTACTAATTTATTTATATTAAAGAACAGCCCCACACATATTTATTGATAAAATAACAAAAAATCATATGTTACGATGGATGACGAAGGCATGCTGTTATAGCTGGACACATGATTCCGGCTTACTTACAGTTCATTCATAATATATTAATCAGGTCTTGTCCAAATTATTCAGCTAGTCTCAATCGCTTTACCAAAATTGTCGTTACCGCCTCCAACATAATTCGTAGATTAATTCAATATTATTAATCAAATTTAATTAATTAATTAATTAATTAATTAGATTGGTCCATTCAAAAGTAGTGAATTTTTACTAGGAGAAGTACTCATATTTAGTGCTCAACAGTATCTCGAATAAATTTACCTCTAATAAAATAATACTTATACCTAATTAAAAAAAGTTGATAATAAATAAAACTGAAAATAAAATGCAAAGAAGATGAATGAATATTGTGGTATGCGCAGAGGCACGCGGGAGGATGAGGACGAACCCCACCAAATCAGAGGGAAGAAAAAGACAGCCATATTTTCGTTTTTGTCTGCGGTCCTTTGGCTTCTGCTTTTCACTGTACATATAGTTTTACATTTAATTACTTAAGAACAATAATTTTTTATTATGAATTTTTATCTAACAATATGTATCTTGAATTCGATCCCATGAATATTTATCAAATTAATTTTTTTTGCGTTTTTATTTTTTATTAAAATTTAGAAACATATTTCTTAAAATTCTTTAAATAGAACCTTTTTTTTTTTTTAAATTCTGCCATGGGTAAATGATTCTTGGTGGCCCATTTTCAGTCTACTCATAAAAAATGAAATTACCATTTTATCCTTGGTCTGCTTTTTATTCTCTCTTTTTTGCCCTGGGTACTTTCTTATGCCCCTTTTGTTTTCCAATTGGAAATTTGGAATAGGCGCTCGTCATATATGCTACAGATAACATTATATAAAAGCCAGAAGAATCACACCAAACCTTGGCTGCAGTGTTACAGCACAACAACCTTGTTTAAAAAGAGAGAACTACGTGCATTGCTTCCTCCAAATGAAAACAGATCCAATGAATTTGGCTCACATTCATTCATTTGTTAATTAAGATTATCTTGTCTAGCAAGTATGCCGTATTAATTATTATATGTTATCTGATAGATTAATTTAAATACATTCACAGGTAGTGAATTAGTGTGTTTCCCCATATTTCTCCTAAACTTGAATTTTAAAGAACTTCAAATATCAACAACTTAATCAGGAAGATAATGATGATCAGTTTAAGATTAATTCCCAAGTTAATAAGTTGAATAGATTAATAAACAAGGTCATGTGGAGGGAACACAAGTTTCTTTAGCCCTAATTTGTAATGTAGCTGTATTGTCTAATCCTTTTGTTTTAAGTTCATCATTTTTTTTAAAATCTTCAAGAACTACTAAATACCCACAAATTTAAATTTAGGGAAATAAATCATTGTCAGAACTTAGAAGGTTAGTCCAATTTGTAATTAGAATTACTTTAATGACCTCAATAGAATCAGGAAAAAAAGTTAGTTGCCTTCTTAAAATGGTTTTAAAATTAATATCTTCTCTTTCCTTATGGTTGACCACAAAATTCGTTTATGTCTGAATTATGTCATTTTTTCTTTTCCATTTCAATTTCAATCTTAAATTCGAAGCACCAGGGTCCAATAATGGGGTCTTCGGTTATTGAACCCCAACGAAATCGGCAAATCCCAAAGCCGGAGCATTGCACAAATCCAGAGAAGGAGACCCTGCCCTGCCCCTGCCAGCTGCCATCCCCACAAAACCTTTTGAGTTTTGATTTCGTTCCACCCCCAGTTGCCCATATCTCTCTGATTCATTCATTCATTCACCAATAATTCCTTCTAAAGATCTGAACTTGAACTCCAACATTCGCTCTTTACACAACACAAGTGGCTCTCTCTCTCCTCTTCTCTCTCACACTAGAACCAAAGGGGACACAGATCATGGATGTGGGTCAGATGCAGAGACAGTTGGTGGAATACACCAAATCTTTGTTCATAGAGGTAGGCCAAACATCAACTTAAGGCGACTCCTATGATTTTACCAATTCTGGGTTTGAATTGTTTCTTGTCTGTACACTACTACTATCAATACTACTTAGATAGATCTATTTATTGGGGTTTTTATTTTGGTGAGAAAAGGGATATTTGGACAGTCAGTTCTTACAGCTTCAGCAACTACAAGATGAGAGTAACCCATCTTTTGTGGCTGAAGTGGTGTCTCTCTTCTTTCAAGATTCTGAAAGGATTCTCAAAGATCTCACCATTGCTCTGTGAGTATATGCCATCCCATCCCCCCCCCCCCCGGGTCTTTTGACCTCTCTCTCTGTGGTTGGAATGACCTTGGAATCATGCATTTATCGCCCATTATTTGGGATTTGTTTTTCCTGCAGGGATCAGAAAATTATTGACTTCAAAAAAGTTGATGCTGATGTTCATCAGTTCAAGGGTAGCAGTTCAAGGTACCAGATCCATCAGAGAACATGGTTGATTGTTCTGGCAATATGGTCAAGATTTAAAAATAAATAAATAAATAAAGTTGTTTCAAATGGTTTTTGGGCACCTGTATGCATATTCAGGTCTCAAATTCAAGACCGATGTTTAAATTAGCACAGCCTTCTAAATTGTGTTCTCCTTGCGTGGTAGTAATATCCTTTTCAATCATCTTGTCAAGTCAACTAGAGAGAGATGAGCAACATAGTAACAAAGTTGATTCCTTTTCAGATAAAGTTGATTCCCTTTCATATTATGCCTTTGTATTTTATCTGCTGAGAGGTAAATTTGTGTTCTGGTCCACAGCATAGGCGCACAAAGGGTTAAAAATGCCTGCATTGCTTTCCGCGGATACTGTGAAGAACAGAACGTAAACTCGTAAGTACTTTGTCCCTCAAAACTGTCATTATCAATTTAGTGCCCATAAGAGCAAACTTGGAGCCAAATTATGCTGTTGTTCAGCAATTTTTCTCCAAAAGAAAAGCAAAAAGGGTTTGTGGATTTGAGTTTAAGGTTTTTACTAATTTGAATTCTGGGAGTTTCATTCCTTTCCCTTTTTTTTTTTTAACGACACAAGGTTATAAGTAAGATCAAACTTGCAACTTCTCACTTATAAGGAGCTTTCATGCTTCTAAGTTACGAGGTGGCTATTGGCCTGAGAATTTAGGGTTTAGGAGCTTCATTCTGATCATGGAAAAATGTTGTGATTGCAGGTGCGTCAGATGTCTGCAACAAGTAAAGCAAGAGTACTTCCTTGTCAAGAACAAGCTGGAGACTCTGTTCAGGGTAATTACCTACTAAATCTTTGGAGAAACTTTATTGTGTTTTGGATTTGTAGCTAATAACAAGTGTGTGTGTGTATATACATGTTATGGTGCAGCTTGAGCATCAGATTATTGGAGCTGGTGGGTCAATCCCTATGGTGGAACTGGGTTTCTAAGATGGATGCTTATTAGAAGGAGAAGCTTGTGAGAGTGTTTTGTGATCATTTTTCTCCTTTTGGTGGAAGATTGTGTCTTAGGTTTATTTTTGTGGTTCGTTGTGTGAGTTTTATGAATGTAGATGTTATGGTGAATGTAGGGCTTTATTTGTGAACTCTTCTTGTTGCTTGCATTCAAGGAGGTTTATATCACAACTGAGATTTCTGACACAATCTTTCAACCCCAATTCATACTTTTCTTTTTTTAAAAAGAAATAAAAATTATATATAAGTTGTTTGATTTTTAATATTATGTACTAATTCAAATTTGAGCGGAGTCAAATCCATAAAATTTGAATTGAAATCCTTTTTTCCCCCCTTTTAAGAACATTGAGTTTTATCATTTTTCAAGCGAATTTAATAAAATCATTATATCAAACTCAGATTATGCAGATAATTCTCAGGAAAGAAAGCCCTAGTTGTGACAATGTTTAAGCTTCTACTAAGTTTACTCTGTCATTAATCCTTGATTTTTAGGTTGTTTACTTCAAATTAAAATAATTCATCTTTTCATTTGGGTTATTATTATTTTTTGAAATTAACAGTGAAAGATTATTTTCTCTTTATATTCTATTTAGACAAGATAAGGCTAGAGGAAGTGAGAGTTGAGACGTTTACATAAAATAGAGATTGGAAAAAAAAAGAGAGAGAGAGAGGAGGAGAAGAGGAAAAAAAGGGAGGAATAGTGAAGTCACATTTATTTGCCATTGCTAATTATGTTTGTCACTTAATAACAAAAAATACTTATTATAGTTATTTTTAATTAATTAAATTAAATTAATTTATTGAAGTGAATTAATTAATTAAGTTCACTTTCCAATTTATCCCCAAAAAGAAAAAACGAGATAGAAGAATTAAGTGACACATTTTTCTAATTAAAAATTTAGATCATTTTGTTCCATACAAAGTTGACTTTCTACTAAAAAGAAATGATATAAAAGATACTGAGCCGTCCATGAATTTGAAAAAATTACAGTAAGGTCTGAACTAAGAGAATTAAATATAAAAAAAATATTTTAAAATCATCAAAGTAATCCCAAGGCTTCATTGTAAGAAATTCTATTTGTTTAATCACCAAATTGTTTTTTAAAAAAACTGTATTGACAACTGAAAGTGTAGTCGTTAACAATTTAAATTTAAGGTGTAACAACTTAAATTGTTAATTCACGCTCTTTCAGTTGTTAATGTATACTTAAAAAAATAATAAGGATAATTTGGTAATTAAACAAATAATGTATGCTTTTTTAAAAAAATAAGGATAATTTGATAATTAAACAAATAAAATCTTTTGTAATGAGATCCCTTAAAACTTCAAAATAATTTGATAATTTTAAGAGACTTTTTATATTTAATTTTCTTTAGTGTAACCTTATTGCAATTTTTCTCATGAATTTTGGTAAATAGATTTGGACCTAATAAGTAATGACAAGCTTTGAACCAAACTGGGGTGATAAGAAACGATATCAATAAAATAAAAAGAAAATCTGCGGAGATTCGATTTTTGTCTGATACTTAACGGAGCAAATCCCAAAGAATCTTAATTAAATAAAATTATAAGAAATATTATTCTTTTCTTTTTGGCCCTTTGCTCATGTGCACAGTGATTTATGATTCAGTTGTCAAATTTTACATGGTATACCATGCATGAGACTCATTAATAATAATTGTTTCCCCCCACAAAATCAGATATATATATTTTATTTTGTACAGAATTTAAAATATAACTGTTTATAAATAGTAGTACTTCTTATGATTATTATTATTATTATTATTAATAGAAAAGGAATTAAAAATGGAAAATCATTGCTGGGTTGTAGAGATACAGAACTGAATAAGACATGCCAGCCCTTCATGCATAGAGACAGAGTGGATCAATGAACTCAGAACATGCACTCAATAAGAGAGGGAAATCAAATCCCAAGCTGCCTTTTGATTTTGTTTTTAATCCTTTCTTATTCGGTTTCTTCAAGCATTAAATTACTTGTCGTATTGTTTTTTTATTTCTTATCTAAAAGTCAATGAAAATAATGAAAGTGTATTGGTCTAGGCTCTCTTTTTCATGAGGGACCTCTCTCTTTTCTAAATTGCACACCGGCGTTTTTCTATCAAATTTGAGACAGTTAGCTATTAAAATGTAAGCACATCTTTCAACAAAAATTTAATTTCATTGGCTCACATTTGAGCAATATTAAGCCTAATTGAAGGTAGTTCTCCCAAATGCATGAAAATTTGATCTGACTAGGTCAGATTCGACCATTCTACTACTTCCGATCCTTAATATAAGACTTTGTTTGATTTTTATTTTGATCCTAAATATAAAACCCCAATTCACTTTGTCTTTTTTTTTTTTAATTGAAAGGGGATTTACTATGCAAAGTATTTACAAGGGGCACTTTGTCTTTTATATTTATGTATTTTTTTCTAAGGTAATCATTGTAATAATGGTAGTTCTAGCCAATACACTTGATTAACAAGGATATTTTAGGAAAGACAACATTTATTTATTACAAATAACTAACTTAATTTATTTTTTTAATCTCTTCAAATTAGTCAATTAGTTTTTATAATTAGGACCGGAGGTAGTAGTTTTCTTAAAAGCATTTTCTGTATTTACAGAGACTTCAACTGGAAACCTTAGACTTGTCAGTTAAAGCTTTTTTCACTAGAATCAATATCCGTTGGTAATGAAAAACCATATTTTACATAAAGCAAAAGTTCAGTTTAGGGGCGGAATTCTCATTCCTTTCAAGAAAATACACGCAGTTCTAACACATGCAATAAATAGATAATATATTGAGTTTACATAAAATTACAACATGGGTTTTATCTTACACAGCGTAGAATTTTGAATAACTCGTACTGTTTAAGATTAATTAATAATGCAGATTGCTATAATTTTGATATTTTATATCATTGGTATGTATTGATATTAATAAAGCAGAAGAACGATATTATAAATATTTAACAATTAAAGAATACTTTTAAAAAATCACAATAATATGGATCAAAATAGTTTTCCCCCCTTCACTATGATTAGCTTAAGTTCAAGAATTTTTCTGGGGGAAGGGGAAAAGGAAATAATTGACAAATTTTCATCAACTATTCAAATAGTATTATATCACTGTACATTAACTTAAAAAAAAAAAAAAAACACACTACATCAAAGTTTGTTTTTCTTTGTTTGATTCTAGTCAGACTGTACCAGAAATAGGGTGGCTCCATCTTTTTCTCTGTTCTGCAAAGCTCCCAACTTTGGCTGAGTACTGGCTCTTATCACAAAGCCTACGTGTGTACAGATGATTCAGAGCGATGGATTCAACATGTTGTAATATTTTCACTGATTTCCCATGTTTTTCATCCACTATTGTCTCCCCATCACATGATTCTCTGCCTTTGGCTATGATTTTAATGTTCTTTTCCTCAAATTTAGGATTGAGACTACCTGAATCGCTGTCTGCTAACACCACTGCTCCTAGAATTTCCCCCAAGAATGTCTCCTGCAAATTGCAATACAAATAGCATCAATACTTACACCTTAACGAGAAGAAACAATGCCTCTAAGTCTGGAGATTTAAAGCATATATAGTTTAACGTTAGATTTTGGTGGAAGTAGTAGGAGGAAGAAATAGTACTTCAAAGTCCGGAGATAAAGTGCGTTTGATTTCACTCTGAGAGTTACCAAAACCATGGTTTTGTTGGAAGAAATAGGTAGTTAACTACCTGGCTATGTAAAAGATACTTTGAAGCTTTACGAGACAAAACCTTACACACATACTTATCTCGTACGGGCAAAATCACTTAAAATACTTGGTCCTTCCAACAAACCATGGTTTTAATGGTTTTCAACGTGAAGTCAAACATACAGTTTTTATCCATAACAGATAGATAGTTTGCGTATATCAAATGATTGCCCTCTTTGAAACAATTATAGAAGTAGGGTATGGATAGGAAGTGATACCATATGGTGATATCTGTGGTGGCTTTGCCTCAAGCGATAGAGCCTTGAGATCAAACGCCTGACAAAGACGGCCTCTGGTGTTTGTTCTTGTGTCAGATGAAGCTGTCGTAGAATTGATGAAAATGAGGTTGATCTACGCTGCACAGAAAGTGGAATGAGGTTGATTTTACATTCAGACTCAAACACTGTCTTTGCCGCTAGAGGATCAAGAAACATGTTCATTTCTGAATATTGGTTTGATGGAATTGTGAACACATTTCCTTTCTCACTTCCATTCCTCCTCAAGTGTCCTCCGACCACATAGATCTCCTGGAAAGGTATGGAGCATTATTAACCATTCATGTGAATCTCAATGTGTTTCTCAGCATTCTAATACCTCAATTGGTTGTGTATATGAACTAACCTGAATTCGAGAGCTCATGTTTTTACCTGATACAACCTTGGCCAGATTAGTTAGGGGTCCATTGGCTAACACAGTAACCTTGGAACCTGGGTCAATTTTTTGCGTTACAGACTCCCAAACTTCTATAGCCAATGGTTGTCTGAATTCAGGGTGATCTGTATTCCTAGGAGCTCCATACTTCACTGAACTCTCTGCTGTATACCTGCAACAATGTGATATGAACAAAACAAAACATGTCAGATTCATATCATCATCATTTGAACCATGGAAAGTAAGTAAAAGGAGTAGCTTGGATATAAAAGGTGCATTTAGAGAAAGATAAAGAATAAAGAGTGTATCAGCGTAATGTACCAAGTCTCATATTAAGTAGTATGGGATGTTTAATGGGGTATGCAAGAGGGTTGGTTTTCCCACCTCAATAGCTAATTTTTGGGGTATGGTTCCTTATCTCACTTAAGTACCCATCAGAGTGTCTTTATGATATATAAATCTCATGTAGAGTTACATTTTCATGTCGCTGTCTCTCTCTCTCTCTCTAAATGTATGAATGGAGAGGATTCAGTTTCGGAGTAAGGCCACCTTCTGGGGCTATGAGGAAGAAGACGAGCAAGGCCATAGAGAGTGTCAGAGTCCAAAAAGCCACCACTTCCATGAGGGATTGCTTTAACATATTTGCAGTCACCAACAGCTGAAAATATTGGATCTGATTCATTTGTTGCAAACATGTCTCCAAGACCTACTGGAATATCATCACGACCCATCATATGCAGTAAGTCATATACTATATCTATTGTTGCTGCATTAGCCCATCCAGTTGGACTCACAATAATTGCAGCCAGGTTCATCACTTTGACAGGTACTTTTAGAAGGTAAAACAGTGTAAGAAAGTCTCCTGCACTCATGTCCATGTCAAACACAACCAGTTTCCCCGGTTTTTCCTTCTGAAAACCTGGCTTGTAAGTTACTTCTCTGTAATAAGGAAACTGAGTTGTGAAGTTGAATCTCCCAGCCTGTTGTGGCCTATTTAGAACCTGTCACATATTCACATCATTTAAGAGTTCCAATCACATCAGACAATTTGCACACGGCCTATGTTCAATACAAGTGTGACACAAGTGTTTGTGTGTATTTTCCTTTTTTGGCTCTTACATTCAAGAAGCTTACGAAGAATTCTCTGTCAAGAGGGCTTCTAGCATCCTGGTTAGGTTTTGCTTTTGTGGCAACAAGCACTCGGACTGAGTCCGAACCATTTACTTCTGCTGTATAACCATCCTAAACATTATTTTGAAAAGAACAACACGTTAACTTTAGAAGATAAGATGCTTGGGATTAAAAAGTCCAAGATTTTACTGAAGTACCTTACATCTCCCTTTGCCATTATTGACAAAGCAAAATGGATCTCGAAGTCCTTGTTGAACATGACCACTATGAACTCCACCTTTCTGTAAGTTGAACTTGGGAACTTGGCGGCCATCAAAGAAGGGATTGGAGCCATCAGATATCCCATATGGTCTGTTCGAGGTTATCACAGTGATGTTCATATACTCCATTTCTGCAAATTCATTTTCTCCTTTGTGGTTATACTTATGGGAATTACTCATTATTGATACTGCTACCCCAGATGTGAAAGAATCCCACATAAAATAACTCTGCCAATTATAGTCACTGTCAAGAAAAAAGGCATATTTGCAGACTTCAAGTAAAATCATTGGCAATCACAAGTTCAACGACTGGTTACCGTGTAGAATTGATCATCGAACCAAGTATCACGAGCCATTTTCAATGACTTGAAACAGTACTGAGCCTCAAATGTGTCTTGATTTTGTTCAAAAGCCCCAAAGAACTGTTTGCTAATGGGGATTGTGTTTGTTGCATCAAGAGGAACAAGAGTGATGGGAATACCAGAATGAAGAACCTGAGCATAATGAGAGCCATTTTCATGCACTGCTTTTAGAAGATTTTTAGTATAGAAATTCTTTGTAGGTGGAATTACCTGGTAAGCAGCAAAAGGGTCCCCAAACATATTGAACTCTGCATAAGGGTTAGTGTTATAATCACTGAACAAATTGCCAGCATCACCACACTGCTTGGGAACACAAGAAGAGGAAGCATTCTTGGGGCAACAACCAGTAGGGTTTCTTGCTCTTACACCACCACCCATTATGTATATATGCTCCACATTCTTCTTTAGATGTGGATTATTCATGAGGAATATGGCAAAATTTGTTTGAGCTCCGAGTAGAAACACAGTTATGGGACCTTGAGATATTTTCTCAATCATCACTTGCTGCGCAGTTGGTTGCCTTAAAGGTTCATACTTCCTTCTGCCCTAATTTCATCACAGACAGAATCAGTAATCCAAATGTGTTTTAGTGATTACGGTATACATAACGTCAACCAGACCAAAACATTAAAATCTTTATATACTTTCACTAAAATCTTTATACCTGTGGAAGGAAGGCTTTCCTGAGGCCAAAGTTTGAATCAATGTCTAATCTCCCTCCAAATCCTAAAGGAATTGCTTGCCTGTATCTGCAACCTCCCACAGTATTCAGACCCTGATTCAATTACGAGGAGTCACATATTAGAGCAGATTATTCATTCACCTACGGTTTCTACAATGCTTCTGATAGAGACTTGGTAGTACAGAATGCTTAATTCCACATCGAGTAGTATGAGATGCTCAATGGAGTATTTCCATGGCTTGGCTCTCCTATCTAAACAGCTAGCTTTTTGGGGTGGGGACATGGCTTATTGCAACTCAAATGAATATAATGAACACAATAATGCTGATTGTAAAGAAGCAGAAAACATAACCGATAGCTGCAGAAGAGAAAAATCTCCCAGTACGTGCCTGTTCAATGAGCGGAAGATAACCACCAACATTTGGTAATATGGTACCATTTTCAAGTATTCCACCTTCACCTCCAACTCCAACTGCAACATCATCACGGTTCATCATGTAAAGTAAGTCATATACTTGATTCACTGCATGCCCAGCATTAGTCCAAGCATTTGTGCTGATCGTGATACCCTGCACACACAGTTAAAAGTTGAAAACACTTGAAGGCACGCAACCTTTTTGCAAGTTGGTTCATAATCCTGTTGTAACATGGTCAAAGCAAATCATGTCAAATGTCAACTACAGAAAATGAAGTTGAAGGGAGGACCAAGTACTGTTCACAACTTTTATGTCATACCCTTTTAATTCTTTTTATTATTATTATTAAAAAAAATGAAAAAGTATACTGTGTTAGTATTGTCTGTCTGATTATTGGCTAAACAGAGAAAGTGGATATCGGAGGGTGATCAGAATTTTCAATTTTCAAATACCCGGTTCTGAAGGTTATCACTGGTTTACCTCCAGTTCAAATTCTGATCTGTTGAGCTTGAGGAGATAGAGAAGGCCAAAGAAATCATCAGTATCAACATCTGTATCCAGAAGAATCCGACGTGGCCTATTTTCCACACTGCACGGAGCATCTCCAATAATAGCTCCTACAAGCAATATCACACCCACCCAGAACCTGTTTCTCTTTGCCAACAACATTCTTCTGAAGCTCAGAAATAAACCCAGAAATCTCTTATCTCTCTAAACGAATTGAAAAGGACCGATTTTGATGAAGCAGGAAAGTTATATCAGTCTCATTCCATGAAAAGACACAAGAGGAGGCCAGAAGGGAGATGAAATGGACCCATGAGAAGAAGTGTTAAAACAGAGAAACAAACATAAAGTTTACGTGTTCATTGGCTCTTTTTTTGTGTGGGTATAAATGAAAGCTTGGTGTTTGGAAATATAGAGCGAGAAGGGAAGAGAGAGAGAGAGATGGTTGAAGAATGAAGAGAAGGGAAGGGAAGAGAAGGAAGATTGTGATGAGAAGAAGAGGTGAGTAGTGGATAGCTTTTAAAAGTCAGAGCTATTTTATTCCATTGTTGAATAACTCTTTCTTCCTTTTAGTAGTCCAAAACCCCAGCTGAAGCTTACGTACTTGTTCTCACACACAGGCTCGCCAATGATAATTTAATAATATCAAAATTTTCCTTAAAAATCTAACAATTTGTAATGTTAAGAGTAACGAAAAAATTAAATACCATCTCTAGTTCTAATTATTAGATTTCGTTTATAGTATGTAAATAAGATTTTATATTTAGAATCGAAATAATAACATGTATGAGATCTGTTTTATTCATTTTAAAATATCTCAATGGTTTCTTTCCATCCGTTTTTCATAATATGTGAGGATCTAAACTCATCATGGAACCTGCCACTATATTGTTTGTTTTTTTCCAATGAGTGTACGATTTGCATTGGATATCATCCGTTCGGACTTCGGAATAATAGCCTCTAGCTCTCCACAACTTATTTGTGTATATTGTATAATCCTATCCCCTTTCCAAAAATATAATATTTAGTTTGCACTTTGTAATGGGATTCATACTATAAACAAGATTTTATATTTGAGATCCAAGGTAATATCAAAATTTTAAGTGATACTTTTCTATTCTTAATATAAGAACTATTTAATTGATTTGAATAGATTAAAAAAATTAAATAAATTAGCTAAGTGTAGTAAATTTGATATGATACTCCTATACAATATTAAATTATATATCAGTTTATAAGTCAGATAAATTATTTTAAAAAAATAATAAGCATAAAAAACAGAGTGATTTGAAATATTATATTTAAGATTAAATTTAACCCTCAATTACTTCTTATACTAAACAACGGAGGAGTATTGTTTATGGTCATGAAAGTTTATTCAGCTCATTTTTTAGTATTTATAAATCATGAATAATGTAATTCATATCAAATTTTAGTTGAAATCTTGGGTTTATACTCTAGTTGGGACTTGATGGATTTAATGTTTTCTCTTTAGAGCAAATAACACATATATACTTTCCTTAATTTGCAATTTCAACCATTTATCTAAGACTAAATGTGAGTATTTTCTTGAACATGGTAATATACATGCTTTCTTCTTGCGTATTACTTAAACTTAGATGTTGATATCTAAAATTTTGTGATATTTTCTGTCAATCATATTACTTAATTAAAAAATATACGTTTTTTAGTCGCAAAACATAAGAAAAAGGGGGTCAAACACTCCATGCTTTCTTTGAGGAAAAGCACTAAATTGCAGTTGATTGACCCAACTAATAATTATAACAATATATATAGACTACCCATAATAGCTCAAATGTATATTTAAATCTCTAATTTTTTTTAGTTCTCTAATTAAAATACTATCAATCTCAAATGATAATTTTTTGTGTCAACAATGTTATAATTTTAAAAACGAAATTTAATATGATTTTTTTATCAATAATATTTAAAATTTCAATGTCAGTCTTTTTTAACTGACATAGCTAAAAATTTTGTTCAGTCACATGTTATAACTTGATCATGTTGGTGCATACTGGGTATATTAGAGTGCGATTAAAGGGACTAACAATATATATTATATATAAAAAGCAAACAACTTTTAAAATAAGGGTGGGGTTTATACCAAATCGATTCACAAAATTGTTTAGACCATAAAAGATTCAGCAGCAAATTTCAATGACCTAACGTCGACAAAGTTTACATCTTTCAGGGGTCAAAATAATGCATTGCATTGCATTGGCACGTTAAAGAAAATAAATAAATAAATATATTCATGATTTGACACTAAGAAAAATTATTACTATTTTAAACTAAATTTGTGTGTTCGTAGAAAAGGAAGGATCGACTGCTTTTCTATGCGGGAATTATTTATTCATAAAATTATTTTGTGTGTTTATTTTGAGTGATAATGGCATGCCAGGTGGTCCTTCTTAAGAAAGAATCAACCATTTTTGTCAAAAAAGTGAATATGAACTTTTCAAAAAAAAAAATTGTATAGAATTTTCGTCCCCACTATTCCATTATCTTGTGTGTTGGACGTCAGGACATGGATGGACTTTCATTCTTGGTGACAAGTGCCTCTATTTATTATACTTTTATTTATTTTCACTTTTTATAGCTCACTCAAATTAATGATTATTGTATATTAATTTTGTTAGACATTGACATTTTTACTTTTTTTAATTAATAGGTTTTGAACTCTTTATCTTTATATTATACATATATATAATCTTGTTCTTGTTACCTGAATTAAGTAATTCTAAATAGCTAAAATTATATTAACCCCATTCCTTATTATAAGAAATTGTTTTACTTTTAATTTGATCCTAAATATAAGACTCCAATCTATTTTATTTTTTATATTTATTTATTTATTTGAAGTAGTCTTTGTAGTAGTTGTACATGTTAAAAGTTTCATCAAATAGTAATTCCAGCTAAAATACATGATTAGTAAGGGTATTCTATTTTTAGAAAGATAACACCTATTTATAGCAAATAACTAATTTAACTAATTTTTTTAATCTCTCTAAATTAATTAACTAGATCTTATGTTAAGAATCGGAGCTAGTAATTATTTTATGTTCATATTGATAATCAATGTCAATATTAATATACATTTAAGCCATAAAGTGAAGGAAAGGAGAGGGGTTGAAATAAAAGATTCAATCTTATTGAAACCCAATATGATATTCAATTAAAGTATATTTTTGAAAAATCATGAACATAATAGCACTCCCTTTGTTTATTTTTATAAGACAAAATTGCATAACTTACACTTATTAATGAAATAGTTTAAATTAATGATAATCATTTTTAAACTTTATTTGAAAGTGGGCTAAGTTTTTTAATTTATGAACCAGAAGCATTTTAGGAAAAATAATATTTTGTGTGTTCAACTTTGCCCCTCTTTTAAATGACGTGATTTAATTCTTTCAATTTTCAACCTCAATTACGAGGGACTGCATCTAGCAAAAAAGATTAATCCCTTATAACATGAGGAATCAAAAGTTTGCATTCTCACTAAGGGAAATATCCATGTTCAAGTCCCGTTTGATATAAATCATTGAGAATAAGATGGAAGGATTGAAATTGAGGAAACTCGTTAAAAAGTATTTAGTATGAGATATTGTTTGGTATTTGAGATTAGGTAAACCCATATTGGTAGGACTGGTGACACTTTTATTCAGGATAAAAAATTACTTCTAAAAGATGTCCTATAATAAAAATTGAGTGTGTGTATGTATATAAACATTACATCTTTATTTTGCCTTACAATTAGGAAAGGAGTGAGACACAATTCCAATTATTGCCGCCAAAATAGGAACAACTGAAGGAGGCGGGGAAGAAAGGCGCACAGGCTGATGGGAATAGTTTATGTTTGGATTCCAACGGGAAGGACCGAAGCTGGTTGGCGTTTGCGTGGGGAACACGGCACCGTCAACCGACTCTTGAGTCTTGAATGAATTGCCGCCATGGCATGAAAACTAAACTCCACTTCGCCGCCCAGATCAGCCTACTTGGTGCATTAATTTTTTAAGTAGGACCGTCTAAGAATTTTGGATCAAGTTAGATTTTTATATATATATTAATATATATATTCTCGTTATTGAGGTTAAAATGACATTATTTGAACTAAAAAAATAGTATATATCGTCATATTTTTGCTTTGTTAACTTTCTTTTATTAAAATTATGTGTGGTTTGTATGTACATATTATATTTACTTGTGAATTAGCGTTTTTTCAAAAATTTCAATATTATTTTGACTGATCCTTGAATTTTACTTTGAGACCTTAAGATAATATCAACCGATTTAGTTTTCAGTATTCTGATATTTTTGTTAACTCAGTGAAATCTATTTTTCTAAATACAGTTTTTATAATCTGTAAATTTAAAATTTAATTGATACTTTTTAAATAAAAAATTGATTTCAAAAATTGTGAAGAGATTTTTTTTAATTTTAAATTCTAAAACGCATGATAAGTCTTTATAAAAATAAAACTAAAAAAAATTAAATTTGAACTGTGCAAATTAGTTACATGCAATCCAAATTTCGATACTCATCGTCCTTAATGGGTACTGGAGCCACTTTCCTACTATCTTGCTCTCTAGTGTGCTCATAGACGTACTAAACACTTTACAAACTTAGCCATGCACTCACTGGTGAGTTCACTCTCGTTTACTTGGAAGGGAGACCAAACCAATCTCATAGAATTAAACCCAATATTAGGAATCCATATGATTGTTCCATTGTTTTATAAACCATCACTTTCATTCATATTTTAACGTAGGTTTTTTTTTTTTCCTTCCAGATTTTAGCATAGTAAAGCATATTATAGTGAGGAGTCTAAAATACTCAATTTCAAGAGTTTTAAAGAATCAAGTATGTTTAATTAATTAAGATTCTAACATGATTTTAAAAAAACTAATTTAATAAGAGTTAGATTGTGCAATAATATTCATCCCAAATCATTTAGAGGTATTATATACAAGTTATCCTCTACAAAGTTTTGTTTTGATTTTTTGCTTTAATTACTATAGCAAATTTGTGTTTGAAGATCGAACTGTTATTTTATTTTATTTTTTAATTAGGCACTTTCCAGTCCCGCAGATGGCCCTTTCATAAATGTGATGGCTTCGGTCAACCCTTACCTAACTTTTGTTCCTTTTGCTTGTTCTTCAATTTGAATCTTATTGTGAGGCTTTTTTTTTATTTATTATTATTACATTTGTATGATCTGTCTAATCAAAGAACACAGTTTTATTCCCAAGGTTTTTGACTTTATACACTCTGATTTTAATTTTCGTACACTGATCCAAACATTGCGTTCAGGTGTCAATATATATTTT